GTAATTCTCTCTCTCGCGCGCACACGCTCGCTTTCGTTCTCTCACGTACACTAAATTGTCTTAATACATAAATTATAGAAAATTCATCAATAAATGAAACATTACATTCTTCAGACTATAAATGTAGTCAATAAATCATTTTATACTCGTTTTTGCTGCAAAGATATTTTGTTTCTCCTTTTAGTTTGTTTTTTTCGGCAGCGTTGTTGGATTTGAAGGACTACTTTAAACTCCCTGCCCACAGTAACGTTTACATACTTTGTGCTTTCTTTGTACAATGCTAAAAAATTCATACCTGCTGAGCAGGTCAAAGATAACAAACTCTAAATACTTCTCTTTATAAGGCATAATATGTTCCATTATATTTCACAACAAAATTACCATATCAGTAAATGTATAAATAAACAATAACACAACAATGTAAACGCAACTGACGCAGTTGTATTATTGTAAATCCATATTTCTATTGATTTGAGGTAGTGTATTCAATGTAATCCTATTACTTTGCTGCTATATGTTGTGTGTAGATATGTGTTTCATATGAATATTTTTCACACCCATACACTTTTACTATAAGTCCAAAATATGTAAACATATTAGAAAAATTTATGTCTAGTAAAACAGATGTAGCCATAAATTTTTTAATTAAAATTTTTTTCTATTTATTGCAATTAGTATGATATTTTTCAATGAGTATTTATAAACAGTTTGGAATGTAGAAATGAAGAATATACACTATGTATATACGTATATATATAAATATACACACACGCACGCACACGAGTTAGTATTTTGGACTTACAGTTATTTCAGTTGTAAGTGTGCTTCAAAAATTATCATCTATGTATAAAGTATGAGAAAACTAAATGTCGGGCAAATTTTGAAACCGATTGTAATTTGCATTAATTATTTTGTACATATCGTACATTAATCGAGTATGAGATTTTGTAAGTATTCTTTGACGTTATTAATCAAAATCTTCCCGCTATTCAGTATTCCAACTTCGTTTACCAAATACGACAAGGCTGCTGACATTAGGCTTGCTAGCACTTGTAAATAATGCCCAGCAATTGTGCTATTCCGTTAGTTTCTTTAACTATTATTTCATGAATAATTTATCACATTTTAATCGTCTTCACAGATTGAAAAAGAGAGGGCATATGTAACATCATGCATTACCAAGTTAGCTCAATCTATGAACACTTTTGTAAAAAATATAACATCTATGGATGGTTGAGCCCTTGGTTAGCATATAGCGAATTAGTACTTTTGAAGGTAATGCGGATCACTTCTGCAGGAACAACTACTGGATACAAATATCCATGTATGATCTATATTAAATGTATTTGACATCATTTTTCCTTTAAAAGGATACATTGCTTTTGGGTCTAAAAAGATACCCAAAGTTATATCTAATACTTAAGAAATGGAACCTATTTAAGCACAAGATATGGATGTTCTTTACAATTTGATTGTACAAATTCTTTACTCTATTGCAGAAGTGATTTTCGCTCTAGTCTTCGTATATTTAGTTTTTCTTTCAATATCACACATACCCCCTCTCTAAGAAACTAAATACAGTAAACTCAAATAGGAATTGAGAAATTGACAATATCAATTTTGAATTTTGACACATTCGTGTTATCCTTATATTACTTTTAATATAAGTTTAACAACTTAACCAAATCAATGTAAAGTTAAAACAACAAATACAATGCATAAACACATTGTAAAAAATTAAACTTAACATAAAATATGACTCACATCAAGATATAATAGCCTCAACAGTTTACCAGGGGAAAACACAAACGAAACATACATATAATAGTAAAACTATTAACTACTACACTACTCTAAAATAGCGAGAAAATCCTAAGACACGCGATATCGCACGATGAACAATATTTTTAGAAATTACAAAATATTTGCAATTTCTAAAGTCATTTTTCTTTATTAAATTTGAATTTTCTAATTCTTGCATTGAATGTCTTGTGATTTTTACGCTTCTGTAACAATTAATTCAATATTATTTCTCCTGCTATGTTACTGGTTTCCTCATTTATAGCTGGAGAATATCTCAAAATAAAGCAGAAAATTTTTCTGCTTTCAACTTGTACATTTAACTTGCAATTTTAGATCTTGGAGCCGAAATCCATTATTTGATTAATGGTGTCACGATTATACGTAATTTTCTTTTATAAGTTAAGCTCGTATGTACCTTGACATTATTCTTCACGTATTTAATATCATCAGAATATCATTTTTTGTGACTTATGGAACATTTCAACTCCACAGATAAAAATTGATTTTAGACAACAATTAAAGATTAAAATCATTATTAACTATAATTATCAATTACACGACCATTAGTATGTCTTATGTAGTAATAAATTACCATCGTGCTATTTTATTTCACCGTTGACGATTGTTTTTTTTTATTACTAGTTATTTATGAGTTATTTAGCTTAACTTATTAACGAGTATTAATGGCATCTGCGTTTGTCAAGAAGAATTGAAGTAAATTTGCATTTTACCTTAATTATTAATGCTGTACGAAATTCAGCTTTTCAAATTTTTATAAACTCGATTTAATGATGCCGTTTTTTCTTGAAACCTATTGAAAAAAAAGGAATTTAAATCATATTATAAATAAGAAATTTCAATGCGAAACAAACATATTTAGTAAATTTAAATTATTTACTCTTTTTAGCTTTGCTTTTTTTCTGAGTTTTTCTCTTTTTAGCAGATACAGAAGATGATTCCCCAAAAGTTGTAATTTCTTCTCCAAGTGTACCAAGAGTAGTTATCTGGCGACGTCTGTGTTTTTCTTGTTTAGTAATAGGTAAACGCGTCATATAATTTTCTTCGTATTCTACCTTCCGTTTATTCTCTCGACCTAGACTAGCTTGTTTCTCCCCTAAACCGTGTTTTTCTTCAATAGGCGCATCTAAATATTCTTCTTTTAATTCTCTTAAAACAACACTAGATATTGCACGTCTACGAGCTCTTTCTCCTGCTTTACGAATTTTTTCAGCAACTGTCTCATCTCCATCTATAAATAAGAAGTACACAATATTTAAGTATTATATTTTTGTCTTTAAATATTATATTATAATTGTTATTAGATGTACACAAATTTACATTCATAAATACTGACCATAATGTACCGCAGCAAGTTTTGGTGGTACATAAATATTAGATTTTCTTGCCTGTGTTGATTTAAAACCATCTACTTTACCATCTTGATCACTATCAGACTCTTCGTCATTACTTTCAAATGCATCCGGATTTGCTTTAAAATTAGTTGGATCGTCACTGTTAATAGTACCAGTTACAGCAGTCTTAACAAGTTTATCTATTTGATATTTTAGTTTGTGATCTATTGGTCGGATTTTTTCTAGGACAGTCCTTATTTCAATTAAGCGATCAATTGATGGATCTCCTTCTATACGCTCTCCTGAACATTTTCTCAAAACTACATAAGTCAAATTAATCAGATAAGAAAGTAACATATGATACTTCATTTCTAGAAAACTAAGACCCTTGTCCGTAGAAATTTCCCCATTTTTAACACGGACCAACATATTATCTACAAGTTGATTCACTTGCAAGACATTAGCATTCATCTCCCCAAGCAAACGAAATGCCTGTGGGAGATCTCTTTGTTCCATTTCATCAATTGCCTGCAAACATAATATTTTATTATTAAAAACTGGCTTGTGCAATTTAATAGGGCAATTTAAATATATACATTATATAAAAAAAATTATGTACCCTCATTATTTAAAAAAGAAAAAAATATTTATAAACAGTATATTCATTCATATCAAAATATTAAACTTTTATTTTCCATGAATTCGAATATTCTTTAAAAATATCACTTAAAATTTTTATACAGTCTTTCACCGTATTTGACACAAGTTCAGTATACAAAAATCATTATGTATTTTATTTATTTCAACATTAATCACATTTTATTTAAGAAATGAAATACGCGCTAAATTTTGTTCGTAAAACTGAAGCGTAACCAATGTTTTCATACAAATTTCACCCGAAAACTTATAGAAAGGCTTAATTTTAAGAAAAATGTCGGACCCGTGAATGTACAGGAAAAAAGCGCAATAATCTGCTGCCATCTTTCCTATTTACTAATGGATGACAACGGAAAAAAAAACAATCAAAAATTTCCAATAGACCTGATAGAAAAATGCATTGATTTAGGCAAACTGCGTGAAAATTTATCAATATAATATACTTAAAAGTTTCCACTCACCTGTACCATTGTTCTGAAATAAAAATTAACCGAACAGATGCATATCTAAATAACGTAACTTGTAATTAAACGAGTCCCCACGTGGGACGATATTTTCCTTTTCGGGGGTATATTTTTTCGCTCGGAAAAGCTTGATCAAAACACCTTCTATTATGTAGTAAAAATGTTTCAATTTTCTATCAAAACTAAATTTTTTATTACTTATCAATAATCATTTTTATATATTAAGAATTTATAATGCAAAAATGAAATAGATTAAATCGTTGATTAAGTAACACTTTGCATTTATAAAAGAATCACTTCCTTTTCATTTGCAAGGATAAAAAATCGCGGGAATTTTAAGAATAAACATAGTAAGAATATTTTTTATATACAATTATTATGATCAAAATTTTATATACTATTCCTATACATAAATTAAAATAACATCAAATGAAATGATTTAAATAAAAAAGAATATTTAAAATAAATATTATCGTGTAATAAAATTAATATCATTGTAGGAGAGGATCCAGTTTTTATTTTGCTTTCGCGTTTGTTTTAAACTTGATAAAACATGGATAACTATACATTTAAGGAAATTAAAAATACTTCTTATTTTGAATAATTCTGTTAGTAAATATTGTTATTGATAATGTAACTTAAAGAAGAACGCGTTGTATATATGGTGAGTAAAAAGCGCTAGGGAATTTTATAAGAAATCATTCTTGTATTACTTTACCAACATATGTTTCGATACGAACTTCATGTTGAAGTAAATTTCGTTTTTGACGTGAACGTAGTTGAAACTTCCCGAGTAGCAATTAAAAATAAAGTTAGTGGTTCGGCGTGACGCGCCTTTGACAAAAACAATATTAAAGAATGGTAAGTGTCTCTTTCTTAATTATTTTATATATTTAAAAGGTGTTAAGATTAAATGTCACAAAATAGAAATATTCATTGAATTGATGTGGCGGTTCTTTTTCGATATATTTTCTAACTTCATAACGACAGTATTCGTAAAGTACAATTCCATTAATTCTGTCAGGGTATTATTATTACAGATTATGCTAAAAGTATTTTAAGCGTTCGTGCCTTTAATTATAACTGGTTAAAATTAATAAAATATATCACTGTGGCAAAATAATGTGTGCATACACATTTGTATTTAGATAACACATTTATAAATAAATTATATTTTAAATTCCAAATATTATTCCATTGGACTTATGATGTGTCACATATATTGTATTTTTGCTAACAGGGAAGATTAAAAAAAAGCAGTGCAATATTTGTAATAATATCCTTATTAATTGAAACAAATGGCTTTTATGTGCCTGGCGTTGCCCCTGTGGAATTTAAAAAAGGACAGAAAATTGATGTTAAAGCAGTTAAAATGACTAGTACTCATACACAATTACCATATGAATATTATTCTGTCCCATTTTGTAGACCAAAAAATGGAAGTTTTATTTGGAAATCAGAAAATTTAGGAGAAGTGTTACGTGGTGACAGGTGAGACTTCTTGTTTATTATTTTATTTAAAGTAAAAAGTAATTTGATTTTCCTTATATAGAATTGTAAATACACCATATGAAGTATTAATGGCTGAAGATATAAGCTGTAGATTATTATGCCATGGACATAACAACCTTATGACATGGAATGAAGAAGAGTCACAGCGTGTTATAGAGCGTATTCAACATGATTATACTGTGCATTTGTAAGTGTATATTTGAATTATAATTTGTGTTAATATGTGCTTGTAGTAATTTTTGTTTCTTCTTAGGTTAATTGATAATTTACCAGCAGCAACAAAAAAGGTTCATAAAGATACAAATAATGTAATTGTATATCATGGATATCGTTTGGGTGGTATTATGAATGACCAATATTACATTAATAATTATCTTAAATTAAAATTAAGTTATCATAAATATGGAGAGTTAGTATAAATAATATTATTTGATATGATTATTAATCATCAAATAATATAATTCAAAATATAATTCTTTTACTTTTCACAGAAATGAATTTAGAGTAGTTGGGTTTGAAGTAGAAGCTCGTTCAATTGATGTAAATCAATTAAAGTTTGATGGAGCTACTTGTATAGTGCCCGCACATTCTCAGGCAAATCCTCAATTTGTTAGTCCCAAGGGAACCAAACTTCTGTTTTTATATTCTGTTGAGTGGAGACAATCTGATGTGAGTTGGGCAAGTAGATGGGATATATATCTAGGAATGAGTGATGTCGAAATCCATTGGTTTTCAATTATCAATTCACTTATTGTAGTCATTTTCCTTTCTGGTAAATATGCATTATCCATGTTTTAATTCCCTTGATTGTTCTAATCTTTATGTACAAAAGTTTATAATAAAATTATTATACATAGGGATTTTAACAATGATCATGGTTCGAACTCTAAGGAGAGATATTGCACGTTATAATGCTGGTGAAAGTGATAGTTTAGCAGGTTTAGATGAAGCAATTGAAGAAACTGGATGGAAACTTGTCCATGGAGACGTATTTCGTCCACCACCAAATCCACGATTATTTGCTGCTGTGATAGGCAGTGGAATTCAAATATTTTTTATGGCTTTAATCACAATATGTAAGATTTTATATTTCTATATGAAATAATAAATTAAAATATTTTTACACTACTTTTCTTATATATTTTCAGTTTTTGCTATGTTAGGAATGCTTTCTCCTGCTAGCAGAGGTGCACTTGGAACATGTGCAATATTTTTGTATGTGTCTTCTGGTGTAATTGCTGGATATTTTTCAGCACGTCTTTATAAAACAATGCGTGGTCGAAAATGGAGAAGAACAGCATTACTGGTAAGGATCAATTGCGCTAATATAAACTGTGAAAGGCAAGATAAAATTTATTGTTATTATGCAATATTATAACATTGTACAATTTATCACAGACAGCAACGCTCTATCCTGGAATAGTATTTACAACTTGTTTCTTTTTAAATTTTTTCATTTGGGGGAAGCATAGTTCTGGTGCAGTACCATTTACAACAATGTTAACATTATTATGTTTATGGTTTTGTATATCACTTCCCCTTGTATATCTTGGATATTTCTTTGGATATCGTAAACAACCTTTTACTCATCCTGTTAGAACGAATCAAATTCCTAGACAAGTTCCTGATCAGTTATGGTATATGAATCCAATACTGTGGTGAGTTTATAGAATTAATATATTAATATAACAATATATAGTTACTTTTATCATGTTACAAATAAAATTTGTTTATTATAATTATTGCAGTACACTAATGGCTGGAATTCTTCCTTTCGGTGCTGTTTTTATAGAATTATTTTTCATTCTAACAGCGTTATGGGAAAATCAATTTTATTATCTTTTTGGATTTCTCTTCCTTGTTTTCTGTATACTTGTCATTTCGTGTTCTCAAATATCCATAGTTATGGTCTATTTCCAATTATGTGGAGAAGTGAGTAATAAATAGTTAGTTTCAATCTTATTCATAACATATATACTCATGATTCATTTTACTCTTTATTAGGATTACCGATGGTGGTGGAGAAGCTTTATTGTTAGTGGAGGATCAGCTGTATATGTCCTAGCCTACTCAATTTTTTATTTTATGACAAAATTAGAAATAACCGAACTGATTCCAACACTTTTATATTTTGGTTACACTGGATTAATGGTATTAACGTTTTGGTTATTAACAGGTACAATAGGTTTCTTTGCCGCTTATGCATTCATTCGTAAAATATATGCTGCTGTAAAAATAGACTAGTCAAATTAATCATTGATTTTATTAATGATTAGGAAAGGTAACATATTTTTTCAATGTTACAAAGAATGTTTAATTTCTTTAAATTAAATGTATGAAACCAAAATAGTACAATAGTTTATTTTCATCTTTGTTAGATTAATATAATTTGAAAAAAAGAAGATTAATAATACATTTACCAAATAATATTCTTAAATGTTATAAAATCATTTTATTTATAACAAAAAATATGTAAAACATACAAATGAAGGAAAAAAAATTGTGATTAAAGAAAGTGATGTATAATTTAGTTCACTGCATTATTAATGCACGATCTTCATTTTTTGTTGTTTAATAAATCTTAAATTAGTATTTAATTATTATTAAAGTACTTATAATTTATGAAACAAAATACTGCTCATTCAGCAGAGAATATATACATACATATAAAGAGAATGCATAGACTATATTAATATTACTTGCTTTTAAAATAAAATGTATTAAAATACTAATGAATGTAATATTAATTATAGTCAATGCCAAATATAATAATATTAATTCACAATTATTCTAGATTTTATTGCAATGAAATAATAATTTTATAAGTTATATCTATAAATATTTGTTACTACACATACACCATCAAATGTTAAATTACTTACATTATTTACATTTGAAAAAACTAAAATATAAATTACTCCTTATTATTTTGTATAGTCGCACAGAATGTTCATCAGTTATGTATAACATTTATTTTTGATATAGATCGATCTATATTTTTAATTACTCAAGTATCATATTTAGTAAATCAATATACTACAATGTTTTATATATAAAATCTTTAATATTGGCTGACTAAATGTATAAGACATTTATAGATTTTGTACAATGATTATATTTACGAGTTTTCTTACAGTCTTTTATATTTGTGCATATTTTCCGTTCCAATAGAATAGTTGTTTGATAAAATAATGAAAAGAAAATTGAAACATGTATAACAAAATAATTTTCAAAATTTGATGGCAATTGAAATGTTCTATTGATTTGATTAATAATAATGAATGAAAATAAATATAAATATTTTATACTATGAATAGTGTAAATAATATGTATCTAATATCTTTATTTTATATATGAGGATATACACAAAGATATCAATAATCCAAGGCTTATATTTTTATGATTTTACTCATGTTTATAATTATTTATAATCTTACTGCATTTTTTTTTATAAATACGAATATTAATAATATGAATAAATAGAAACTCAATATATCTTTAGTGAAACTTCAAGAGATAATATCGATTTTGTCTTAGTTTACATTTTATAATTAAATATATGAAGATACATACTACACTGATGATATAAATTTTGATCTCTGTAGATTCCACAGGCATGTAACATTTTGATACAGAATAATTATTAGGAGTAAATACACCCTGAAATATAAGTATTACTTTAAGTATGTACATAATAAAATCATAAAATTAAAAAAAATAATTTTTAAAAATTTGTAACACTCACTAGTAAAAGTGAGGGATTATTCTTATTACGCCAATTGAAAGATGATATTGTAAATTCTAATATATCTTTTCTATGTATTCTCCTACAACCATGATGAGTGTGGCCATTAATGATCAGTCTTGGATTCAATATATCTAAAAGCTGTAAGTTGATTTTTTTATAGAAATTTACAAGCTCAATTATAACAATCCTTATAAGATATTTTATGTACTTGTTCAGATGCTTCCTTTGATAAGCATTCCCATCGTTCTCTAAACTTAATATCTTTTATTTCGTCTGGTGCTTGATCAAGTTCATTGCAAATTTCATCAGACTCGCGATACATAGGATAATGCTACAATTATAATTTAAGTTATATTATCGTTTTTATTTTATGAAATATTATTTACTGACCTGTAAAATGATTGGTCTACTATATCTTGAAATTGCATTATCTTTGTTACAATTATTTCCCATATTTTTTGCACATTTTAAATGTGCTGAAAAATATTTTTATTTATACATAAGTTTTAATTTTGTTAAATATTCACTTTTCTAACAAAAAGTAATCTTACTGGCAATTTTATTTAATGCAATTTCTGTAGGACGACACAAAAAGCATCCATCTCCTTCCAGTGCCATACTATTAATTAAAACAAAGTGATTTCCTCTGATACTAACTCTTTTCACACTTGGTGACTTCATACCATTTACAAATCGTTGATTTAGGTATGGTGAAATTACTAAATAAATATTTTTTTTATTAAGAATATATATTAATTCTATAGTTATAAAATTGATGATATTTTATAATACCATAATGAAATCCAATATCATGATTTCCAGCAACAACATAAAGATGAGTGTGTTTAGGTACTGAAAATAATGAGTGAAATCTTTGTATATATTGATCAAATTCTGTTGAACTACTCCATTGTCCTTCATCAAATAAATCACCTGTCGTAATTACAATGTAGTTATTAATTATATCAAATTGTTGGTGTATTATATATCAATTATACCATTATATATATTCTATAATGCATACATATATCACATACCTAATATAAAAATTATATCTGGTTTGTGAAGAGTAACCATAGTTTGGAATGCTCTGTACATTTGCCATTCTCTATATAAAGTAAATATTGATTTTATTAAGAAGAAATTAGTTTTGAAAATATATGGAAGGTTTACTATTTGTCTATTATTACAAGTAAAGTCAAACCTTTTTAATTTATCAAACCAATGTCCATTTTTTGAACCTAATAAATGAGTATCTGCTATAAACATTGCATGCACTGGAGTTTCTTCTGGTGTAGGTTGACTAATTGTTGTATCAATTTTATGAGATTCTAAAACTGGCCATGCACACTGTAATATCAAATATAACATAAAATTTCGAAACTTAATAAATATTCTAATATTTTTTTAACTTACCTGGATAAATACCAAATAATATAGTAAATATTCACAAAAAACAAATACACATGTTAAAGCTATAATAGCTTCGACAAAATACTTTTTATATGAAGATGTTCTGACATCTAGCATTTTGTAAATGTTTTAAAATGCAATTATAAAGAGATATATATTACATATTAAATAGTTTCTTCTTTTTAAGTGAGATAAGAATTGATATAAAATTTTTATCATTGTTTACATTATATATTTACATTATATATTTAACATGAAATATATATTTTAAATGTTGCAAATAAATATATGTTTCTTAGATGAAATGTTGCTAAGAAATAATGTGTTTTTATGTCATGTGATATACGAATTCACCATTTTATGTCACTTATTGTTGTAAATTATTATAAGTTTAGAACAAAAATATAAGGTTACAATATTACTTGTGATTAGAATTAATAACTTAATATATTTTTTTTCAGATAATTTGATAATTTGAATCTATTAAAGCAGAAAAACATTTGTAAATTCCAATAAAACAAATGTTTCTTTATTTATAATAATACATAACTCAACAATATATCGATAAATATTAAGATATCGTTATTAAGAACGAGACTAGATTTTGATTATGATGGTGCAATGAAATAGTCAGTTATTGAATGTTATGATAAAACTACATTTATTAATAAATGTTGATACACAGGCAGATTTAGAAATGAAATACGTAAAAATAATATTCAATGAAATTACACAATAAAAATAATATGCGTATACATGTATAATGATCAACTTTCTTAACATTGTTAATTATTGATTACATATCAAATATTTACATAAGAAATTTTAATATGTTGAATATTTATTGCAAATATTATTGCATTTATATGCATCTATGATTATATTGCATATATAAAAGTATAGAATAATGTGTATATATAGAAAAGTCAATATAAAAATAAAAAAATCAATTAAGATATCAAAGTATATATTTGTTATGTATTTGTAAACGATCTTAATCATTTTTTTCTTATTAATTGTTTTTACATCTGTCAAGTATTAAGTACAGTAAGTTGAGGTCAAAGTCTTTGAAAAGTATAGCAAATTATATAGGTTAGGTTAATACCCACGTTTGCACGCATGCGTAGTTACCGGCGTTTTTACTTTCGTACAGTGATTCCATGTGCAGCTTAACATACTATTTTTTTTAGGGCGTGTGCATGTGATTTAAAAACATGGCACAATATAGATTATTGGGTGCAATTATGAGTTTGTCGCATATTAACAAAAATGTTATAGCACAAAAGGGTAACTATAAATTAAAAAAGTTATACTTTTACACAAGCGTATACATGAACCTTTGCTCCCAAGTAAACTTATCTTAACGTATATGTCACATAAGATTTAAAGTATATACATGATATATTTAAATTTGTAATAAAATTCAAAGAAAATATTTATTTAAAATTAAATCAGATAATGAAAAATTTTAATAGATATAAAATTTTAATAAATGTAAAATATCAAATGTTAATTTAGAAATGATAAAGCTATTTTGATTTAAAAATTATACCTTATTATACATCATTTTTATTTTCAGTGTTGTACAAGTCAGTAAGAACAATAAGTAATCCAACAAATGCAAAACATTTTAAATACAAAGTTGTGGATAATGTAGCAGTCCTTACTTTAGATTCTCCAGGCGTTAAGGTATATAATATATTTATATGCATGTATATAACTATTACAATACTATTCTCATTAATGATTTGGATATTAAAATTCTAAATGTAAAAGATTGCAATGTAAATACTATGTTAAAGATTAATAAAAATAATTAATATTTTGTACAATATAGGTAAATACCTTAAACCAAGAAGTAATGGATGAAATTGTAGGTGTTCTAAAAAGTATAGAACATAATTCTACTGTAAATTCAATAGTTTTAATAAGTGGAAAACCTGGATGTTTTATTGCTGGTGCTGATATTACTATGGTACAGAGTTTTAAAACACCAGAAGATGGCTATAAAATATCTTCCAATGGTCAAAAAATTTTAGAGACAATAGAAAAAAGCCAAAAGCCAATTGTAGCTGCAATTCAAGGCAGCTGCTTAGGAGGAGGTTTAGAGGTATATAATTTAGTAGATTCATGTATTATTTTTAGAAGAGCTATAATTATATTTAATTATCCATACTTTTATTTAATCAATATAGGTGGCCATGGCATGTCATTATCGGCTTGCTGTAAATGATCAAAAAACTAGTTTGGGTTTACCAGAAGTAATGTTAGGTCTTTTGCCTGGTGCAGGTGGTACACAAAGATTACCTAGATTAACATCACTTCCTAATGCTTTAGATATTACTCTTACTGGCAAAAATCTCAAAGCAATCAAAGCTAAACAAGTTGGACTTGTGGATATTTTAGTAAACCATCTTGGTCCTGGTATTGGAACACCACAAGAAAAGTAAGAACTATTAATTTTATCCATATTCGTAAAATATAAAACGTAAAAAAATTATGTCTCCATGAAATATTTGTAGTACTATAAGGTATTTAGAAGAAACTGCTGTCAAAGCTGCAAAAGATCTTGCAAGTGGAACATTAAAAGTAGTTCGAGGTCCTAAAACATTGATGGATAAAATTATGAATTTTGCTTTATCTTATGAGTTTGTGAAGAATCAAGTATTTATCAGGGCAAAAAATGAAGTGATAAAAAAGACTGGAGGATTGTACCCCGCACCCCTAAAAATTTTAGATGTAATACGTACTGGTATAGATAAGGGATATAAAGCTGGTTATGAAGCAGAGGCTAAAGCTTTTGGTGAATTGGCAGTTACACCTCAATGTAAAGGCCTTATAAGTTTATTTTTTGGACAAACAGCATGTAAAAAAAATCGTTTTGGAACACCCAAGAATGCTACTAAGTATGTATATTTTGATATGTATTATTATTTATTGTATAAAAATAATTAAGTTTTTTATGGAATTTTATATATGCATTTTAGAAAAATTGCTGTTGTTGGTGCTGGGCTTATGGGAGCAGGCATTGTTCAAGTGAGCATAGATAAAGGTTTTAATGTAGTTATGAAAGATACAAATGAGGCAGGTTTATATCGTGGTGTTAATCAAGTGCAGAAAGGAATGGATACTGCAGTGAAAAAAAAGAAATACTCTAAGTTAGTTTTCAATTTTTTATTAAACAAAAACATGACGCGCGCACGCTGTTTTATAAAGATATAAACTTTCAAATTTTGTTCTAATTTTTAAAATTTATTTAATTTATTTTTTAGTGTTCAAAAAGACAAATATCTTTCTCAACTTAAGTCTACATTAACTTATGATTCATTTAAAAATGCAGATTTGGTCATAGAAGCTGTATTTGAAGATATTGCAATTAAACATAAAGTTATAAAAGAAATTGAGAAGAATACATCAAACCACTGTGTACTTGCAACAAATACATCAGCAATTCCTATTACTGAAATTGCTGCTGGTAGTAGTCGGCCAGATAAGGTGAATGTTATGAATATATTATTTCTCTAGTTTGATATAACAGAATAATGTATTTATAGGTGATTGGAATGCATTATTTTTCTCCAGTAGATAAAATGCAATTATTAGAAATAATAACACACAAAGGTACATCCACTGAAACTATTAAAACTGCAGTTGATGTAGGTTTAAAACAAGGGAAAGTAGTTATCACTGTTGGAGATGGTCCTGGATTTTATACAACTAGAATTCTGTCTGCTATGTTATCTGAAGCCACTAGATTAATGCAGGTAATATTTTTATTTTTTTTTCATAATTTAAGGATAAGAAAATTCGAAAATATAGCATTTGATATAAAAATAGGAAGGTGTGGATCCTATAGATTTAGATAGCATGTGTAAAAAGTTTGGCTTCCCTGTTGGAACAGCCACTTTAATAGATGAAGTTGGCATTGATGTTGGTGTTCATATAGCTATACACCTTGGAAAAGTATTAGGCGAACGTTTTAGAAGTGGAGATGTAAATATGTTCAATGATATGATTCAAGCTGGTTTCTTAGGTATTCAGTTTTTTATTATGTATATTTTATTTTTTATAATTTTATTTATATATATAACGAAATATATGTCATTTTCAGGGAGAAAATCCGGCAAGGGAATATATGTGTATGAAAAGAACATTAAAAACAGGAATCTTAATCTTGCAGCATTAGACATTTTGAAGAAATACAAACTTGAACCAAAAGGAAGTACATCTTTTGAAGATCGCCAATTAAGATTAGTGTCTCGGTTTGTTAATGAAGCAATACTTTGTCTAGAAGAAAATATTTTGGCTAACCCGGTACTACAAAATTTCTCATATATTAATAAATCATTATATTATTGTTTTGTTTTATTAAAGATAAATATTTTTACAGGTGGAAGGTGACGTGGGCGCTGTTTTTGGATTAGGATTTCCTCCATTTACTGGTGGGCCTTTCCGTTGGATAGATTCTTATGGTGCTGATAAATTGGTGCAAAAAATGGAAGAATTTCAAAGTCACTATGGTGAAGCATTTAAACCATGTCAAACGCTATATGATATGGCATCTGAACGAAGCAAAAAATTTTATAAATAGGAAGACTGGTTGATTTATAAGAGGAGTGTTTATGCAATGTTAAAATCTTGAAAGTACATATTTGATATTTTAAATAGTTTTATATTTGCCTAAAAAAGCAAGAATAATATTTAGAAATATTATATTTTTTGATAAATATCTATATTGCGCCTTTGACTTTAAACTTCTTTCAACTATCATTGTAAGTTGTTATAAGATTTTTATATCATACACCCTTTAAAATAGAAATATTTTCATAATATATAACATTAAAATATATTTTTACAGTTTTTCAAAAATACGAATAAAATGTACATATATGCTCTATTTTCAAGCATAAAATATATAGTTTTTGCTATTTATGGAATTATGTAGTTTATTAAAAGAAATTTTAATAACAAGTTTCCATTAAAAATGTATAAATGTCTGTTATATGTTGGATTACTTAACGAATGATTGATGATTACACACGAATAAATTTATCTTCTAATTACCATTTTTTATTTCCTATGAATTATGAAAGCTGTAGGAGTGGAATTCTTGTTCT